CCCTCTCCCAAAGCTGCAAAGGACCTCTCCTGTTTTTTATTCTTCGTAGGATCCACAACCTGAACTCACAATTCTACTCAGCTTTATCGGACACTAAAAACCGTAAGTACAGTAAACTTACTGGTGCCTACCACCCAAAACGGGCTTCCTCCACCTCCCAAATCCCCAACCCTACCCAGGACCTTCCCCACAATGTGCCCGCCGCCATTGCCCATGTGGCCACTGTCGGAGCACCCACGGATGAATTTCTGAAGAAGGGTCTAGGCCCGAAACGTCAGCCTTCCTGCTCTTCTGATGCTGCTTGGCCTGCTGTGTTCATCCAGCTCCACACCTTGTTGTCTCAGATTCTCCAGCATCTGCAGTTCCTACTATCTCTGAAACAAATAGGAGATGTGATTGACTCTGAAGAGCTGAAAGAGAAACAGCAGTCTTCTGAACAGGAAAATGAGGACATTGAGGAATGAAACATCATCTTCTGCAAACAGGATGCTTTAGTGTCAGTCACAACATTCCACACAGGACTTAATTGATACAAATCAAATAGATTTGAGCTGGAAGCATTGATCACTCATTGGCTGTACATTTATTGCTGATCAAAAGGCAAGCAGCCCTTGTCTGCTCCCAGAAGCAAATGCAGTCTTGCTTTTTTTTTGTCTCACTCTTGCTACAGAACAAAAGTACATGCTTTCAGCTATTTGAAGGCTCTCCGTTATGTGGCGCTCTCACAATGAACAATGAGAAGATGTTATGCTGTGCCAGGAATTACGAAGTGAGTAGCATTCCCTGTAACAAGGTTCTAAGATGGGGTGAGGCTAAGCATAGGTAACTTGCGTAGCTTAGTTCAGACGTAGTGATACGTTTATGAATGCGCAGTTGTATTTGCAATGAAATGCCAGCTGTGCCACCTACATGCTGTCAGGAACATTTGTTCTTCGTTCCCTTCCAACTATTTGCACCAGGAAGGGCAAATTCTGGCTTGCAGCATTTAACCAGATGTAAAGCTGTACTTTAAAAATAGGTGCAGGCACAAGAAATCCAGGGTGCTCCCAGGAATAGTGACTATTCCTGCAATTGTTGAGTTGATAATAGTTTGAGCAGGGCACCATAGACAGACGGTGCATAGACAATGAGGTGAGCTGAGGAGAATAGCATGAGGAAACACACCAGAGAAACCTTTTAGTGATTCAAATAGAGAAATCCCCCATGAAACGCACCTAAATTGACACTAGGTCGATTTCTGGTAAAATTTAGCCTAAAATCCATAAAAGTAAATGTTTATATTTTGGCCATTTGATCAGAGCTGAAAAGGTACAGAACTCGTCTCCAGAGGACAAAGCGAAGGGCAGCAATAAGGGGTTGAGCTAGGTGTTTTTTTTTGTTGAATGATGGACATTACAATGTATTGCAAGTGAGATACAGTGGATGTGTAAGGTTGACACTAGATTGAACAGCATGCCATACCATGACAGCGTCTCTCTTGTAGGAACAGCTACAAGCAGCGGCAGCTGCAACTTAGATAAGAGACTGATAATATTTCATTTAATTTGGTTTCAGCTGCACTTTATTTGACTAGTCTATGGTGTACAGCTGCAATTTTCACTTTTTAAATATATTTCACACAAGTGTTCTCCATCGTAATCACACCCCATTCAATTTCTCCACCATACAAAAGTCCATAAAGAATAAATGTAACATGCCTAATATAAATTTTATCTGCAATTTAAACAGAAAACAGTGTTGTCTGAAACTGATGATTCTGACAGTAATCATACATAATTACAGGTTGCAACAGTTATCACAGAATAAAGTACAGTGAATAATCATACAGTTTGCATCTGAAGCCAAAAAATCAGTGGTATAAGGATCAAGTAATCAATAGCAATTTGCACTCATTTGTATTTTTGGCTAATGTTGTGGACTATCACTGTTTCCAATTACCACGGATATCACTGTGACTGACAAAGGGGTTTCAAGGCATTAAAATACTAATAATTGCTCTTTCTTCAGTTTTGTGAATATTTTCTTCAAAACAAAACCTGTGCTATGATCTTTTTCTCTAGCATGTGGGTAATTTTCTTTTTAAACCTCCCAAATACTAGTTAATCTTTTCATCCTATTAGGCTTCATTCTATTCTTTAAACTCATCTTGGTCTCATCTGTTCTGATAAAGCTACCTTTCATATTTGCACTTCAAATATGTTGTCCTTTCTCATCAACCAAGAGTTCTCTTCCATTTTGGTTTGTGGGGCCCTCAACCGTGCTTACTCCATTTCTCACACTTCCAGTGCCACTCCTTACCACTCTCCTTCCATCTAATAACCATCATGTGGTTCCCTTGTCTTTATCTTCCATTCCAGAAGGTTTCATATTCAACAGGTCATCCTTGGCCATGACTAGACACATTTCCCTTCCTGCCCCCTCTCCTTTCAACCTTCCAAAACAACCGTTCCTTCTGTGACATCCTAGCTCACTCTTCAATCATCCACAACATCTCTTCCCCTTCCAATGTTCTTCCTGTTCCAGCACAGGAGAGGCAACCTGCTGTAGGAAGGATGTTGTGAAACTAGAAAGTGTTTAGAAAAGATTTACGAGGGTGTTTTCAGCTAGAGGGGGGTGCTGAATAGGCTTGGGCTATTTTCTCTGGAGCATTGGAGGCTGAGGGGTGACCTTATAAAGGTTTATAAAATCATGAGGGGCATATTTAGGGTAAATAGACAAGGCCTTTTCCCTGGGGTGGGGGAGTCCAAAATTAAAGGGCATAGGTTTAAGGTGAGGGGAGAAGATTTAAAAGGGACCAAGGGACAACTTTTCATGCAGAGGGTGGTGCGT